AAATGCCATCAATATTTGAACCGATTAAAGTAAAATGGGACAGAAGTCGCTTTCCAGAAGATACCAAGCCATTGCGGACTCCACGGAAATGATGAAGCTGATAAACTGGCCAGAATAGGTTCTGGAATGATCCAACCCGATATTCCTCTGGCCATGGATTCAACAAAAAGAATCATAAAGCAGACCCTCCAAAGTTCACTGAAAGAGAAATATGTACAAACGATTGAATAGAAACGGTGGAGTGGATTGCTGGAAGAAAGTGACAGGATTCCTAGAGACCTCCCTAGAGGGCAACCCGTGGCATGCTTTAGAATGTTCACAGGCCACGATTTCCTTCAGAAGCACCTCCACCGCATCGGTGTAAAAGATAGCCCGACATGCCCTCTATGTTCCTTAGACATAATGACAGGAGAACATCTTGATACATGCCCTGCATTACAGGACATAAGATGTTGCTTTAATGAAATGGACAGCTTTTATGCTCGGAGAGCAAAATTGTATTGGACTGCAAGAGCACGCATGGCTAACGAAGCAGGCGTTACTTAGCCGTAGGAAACAAAAAAAAATTGAACTAGATTTATTTTCCTGAAAATTGATCAAAGAAAAGATTTGAGTACGATTTATTTGATAAACTAAAGCTATGTAAACCGGCTTAAGGTAGAGAAAGTAGTAAAAATTTCAATACCATCTAATATTGTTAATCAAAAACTTTTTGCCATAGCTTAGTATTGCCAAACAATAATTTCATTTAACAGTAGAGGAAATAGTGAAGATTGGGTGATGTAGGCAACATATTTTCTTACTTTCACTTTGTCATCTTCATTCTCTCATTCACCCCTTTCTGACACCAGGATATGAACCTGTAATCTTACATTGGAAATTGAACAGCTGTAACTTCGTTAATAGTTGTCCAAAATGAACGATTTTTATATGGCTTTGTAGGTAATTTAATTACCTTTCAAAAGCTTTATTATAAATTTGACCGTATAATATATACACGGTGGGCCAGACCCCCTAACCGTGCACCCCCCCCCACATCCCTATAAATTGCATATCGTTGTGTTCCTTGTAACTATTTATTAAAAAAAAGCCAATGTTCCCACAAAAAAAAGTGAACGCACTGCCCCAAAATGGCGTCCAAACATGGCGGATTGACGACTTTGACTTTAGTTAGTTTTGTGGTCACTGAGAATCAGCATTTGGCTTAATTTCCTCTTAGTTGGTCTTTTATTAAAGCTGAATAGTCATAGAATAATAAACCATGAAGAAATATTAAAAAATAATTGGCTTAGGCTATGAAAAACACCAATAAAGTCAATTTTTTTAACAAAAAAATTTTCAAGTTAAAAATCAAGCGTCATTTGTAATTAAACCGCCTACAATAACGCAAAACGTGCTGAAATAAACCATCTGGAGAATATATTTCTCTTTCCAAAACGCTGATTATTTTTAAAAAACTTTTAAGCAGTTCCGTAGAAAATGCACTTATGCGGCAGAAAAGCGGTACTGGCGTGGGTGCTTACAGGCCTCTACCACGCCATTCAGTACACATAAATGGCTTAGTTAAAGTGATATAATAACATTTTTGGTACATTATATTGATTGTATTAACGAACAAATATTAATGCAATAATTTAATTGTAAAAAAAAAAATTAAAATTTTTTTTAAAAATTTATTATTATTTTTTTTTAATTTAACCTTCTTTATTCTAGACGTAGGTCGTTTAAGAAGACCTTAATTGTAAAAATGATATAATTATAATAATAAAACTTAATTAAAAAACTTTGCTAAATATCTTGATTTTTTTTTTTTATTTAACGTTTGCAATTTAACACTGTGTTTTGTATATTTACTGATTCTTAAAGGTAATTAAAATTTTTATATACTTCCCAGGAAATGAGTCGTATTAATACCTGTTTTATAAACTAAAATATATATACCTAATCTGAACTATATATAATGAATAGCTGCTGGGTTGTATAGTAAAACTCATATATCACTAATTAAAAAATTAATTTTTATTTCCTTTATTTTGTGCAGAAGTTGGACTATATCATAAATAAATAGGAAATTTTATTATTGAATGAATTATTCTCTCTGCACAAAGAAAGATAGAAACGGTGACGCTATAAATTATTCTATAAAGCAGAACTGATTGTTTGGATTTGGTCTTGAAATGAGGAAAAACGCGAAATTGAACCCGAAAACTGGAAAAATACATTAAGCGAACGAGAAAGGAAGTGCCAAAACCTCGGAAAAGATAAAAAGTACCAGTATCCATTATATGGCTAAACGAATGTATAGTAGACAGATGAAGAGAATATTTCAAGATGCTGCTAAAAGGGGGTCAATTGCAGTTTGTATGATATTAAGTGAACGATGTAGGTTTATTATGGTAAAAACCACTTTATTTTCGATTGCTGAAGGTGCACACTGGGACTATCTTCACTTTGAAGCAGGATATAGAGAGTTATATCGAGAAAGTTATAGCTCATATCTCTCCTTCTGTTTAATGCATTTGCAAAAGATTTTTTAAGGAATCTTATATAAGTTATAGCTCGATATTGTTCAGAAATTGCGAAATAACTTGTTCGGAAGTTGTACCATATCATAAAAAAATAGAAAATTTTAATATTGAATGCATTATTCTCTCTGCTTCGCACAGTTTAGCGCATGCATAGGCAACAAGTATGTTAGAAAATAATATTAAAGGACTTTGGTTTTTATCCTTACAAGAAAGGAGATACTAGGAAATGTAATACCCATCAAGATCCATTCCTGTTTAGTGTACAAAAGAAATTATACTCAAGAATTGTAGAAGTTGGAATAAGAAATATTGTCGATTGACAGAGCGATATGGATTGAGAAACTCAAGTTGCACATTGGAAGAGAAGTTGAAAATTGAGACTGGCTTCACTTTAAGGCAGGTTATAGAGAAGTCTATATACAACGAAAAATAGCTATCTATCTGCTTAGTTACTCTTTGGATTGTGCTACCCCCTTTTAGCAGCATCTTGAAATATTCTCTTCATCTATCTACTATACATTCGTTTAGCCATATAATGGATACTGGTACTTTTTATCTTTTCCGAGGTTTTGGCACTTCCTTTCTCGTTCGCTTAATGTATTTTTCCAGTTTTCGGGTTCAATTTCGCGTTTTTCCTCATTTCAAGACCAAATCCAAACAATCAGTTCTGCTTTATAGAATAATTTATAGCGTCACCGTTTCTATCTTTCTTTGTGCAGAGAGAATAATTCATTCAATAATAAAATTTCCTATTTATTTATGATATAGTCCAACTTCTGCACAAAATAAAGGAAATAAAAATTAATTTTTTAATTAGTGATATATGAGTTTTACTATACAACCCAGCAGCTATTCATTATATATAGTTCAGATTAGGTATATATTATTTTAGTTTATAAAACAGGTATTAATACGACTCATTTCCTGGGAAGTATATAAAAATTTTAATTACCTTTAAGAGTCAGTAAATATACAAAACACAGTGTTAAATTGCAAACGTTAAATAAAAAAAAAAATCAAGATATTTAGCAAAGTTTTTTAATTAAGTTTTATTAATATAATTATATCATTTTTACAATTAAGGTCTTCTTAAACGACCTACGTCTAGAATAAAGAAGGTTAAATTAAAAAAAAAATAATAATAAATTTTAAAAAAAAAATTTAATTTTTTTTTTTACAATTAAATTATTGCATTAATATTTGTTCGTTAATACAATCAATATAATGTACCAAAAATGTTATTATATCACTTTAACTAAGCCATTTATGTGTACTGAATGGCGTGGTAGAGGCCTGTAAGCACCCACGCCAGTACCGCTTTTCTGCCGCATAAGTGCATTTTCTACGGAACTGCTTAAAAGTTTTTTAAAAATAATCAGCGTTTTGGAAAGAGAAATATATTCTCCAGATGGTTTATTTCAGCACGTTTTGCGTTATTGTAGGCGGTTTAATTACAAATGACGCTTGATTTTTAACTTGAAAATTTTTTTGTTAAAAAAATTGACTTTATTGGTGTTTTTCATAGCCTAAGCCAATTATTTTTTAATATTTCTTCATGGTTTATTATTCTATGACTATTCAGCTTTAATAAAAGACCAACTAAGAGGAAATTAAGCCAAATGCTGATTCTCAGTGACCACAAAACTAACTAAAGTCAAAGTCGTCAATCCGCCATGTTTGGACGCCATTTTGGGGCAGTGCGTTCACTTTTTTTTGTGGGAACATTGGCTTTTTTTTAATAAATAGTTACAAGGAACACAACGATATGCAATTTATAGGGATGTGGGGGGGGGGGGTGCACGGTAAGGGGGTCTGGCCCACAGACTAATATACTTAGGGAGTTAGACCCCATAACATTTTTCTTTTCTTTATAAATTTTTTTCCAGATTTTTTTCGGAAATTTATTCTATATAGAAAAATTGAAAGGACAATGATTAGAACATTATAGGAAGGTTTCATCAAAATCTAGAGCCGTTTTCACGCTACAGTCTATAGAAAAACATGTTTTTCATTTATTGCGCGCAAGCTATTGCGCATGGAGCACCGAATTTCTGTCACAGGCATCAGTAGTCGAAACCCTACAAAATAAAAAAGAAGCAACAAAATCGGTTCAGTAGCTCCCGAGAAAATCTTAGCACAGACAGACAGACCAATGGCTAATAATGTGTTTATCGGACTCAGGGGGCTCTGAAACATATAGATCCGTCGAAAACCGCATATCGGAAATTTGACTCGATCGCAATACTTTCTTTACAGGTAGGAAAGTAAAAAAGGGTTTCGCTGACGACACTGCTATTCTAACTTCACACAAAAATCCTACTATCGCATCAATTGCCCTACAAAACCATCTTCATGATCTTGAAAAGTGGTTTGAAAACTGGAGAATCAAAATTAATAGTACAAAATCCACCCATATTAGTTTCTCTCTTAGGAAAGCCTCGTGTCCATCCATAACGATTGCCAATAATCCAGTGCCTTCAAAGAACTATGTATGGTACCGTGGACTCTACTTAGACAAAAGACTTACTTGGAACATACATACGAATGTATTTATTTATTTGGTAGTTCATACATAGTTAATATATTTTTCGAAGTAACAAAACTCCAGACCTTTCTCAATTTCCAATTCAATTTGGTGCTACCTTCACCATCGTAACGTTTTATCTTGGATATTGGAATCCAAGAATCATATATATATAAAAAAAAAAGAAAGAAAACATACTAATATTAAGTTATAATATACTGAGCATTGCATTTACATACAAAAAGCAGCTGCGTCGATAAAAGTATAAAAGAAAAATATACATACATTCATATACATACATAAAATACACACTATATATAAAGTAATTTTAAAAACCACGGAGGTAGCAATCCCTCCGCAATATAAGTCATAAAAAAGTAGTACTATAGTACATATCTAAATAAATAAAAAAAATAAAAAAATAAATAAAAATAAATAACTAAAATAAAATAAATAAATAAAATAAGAAAAAAAAAATAATAAAAAAAAAAGTAAATAAATAAACATAAAATTAAACGAATAAAAATGAAATAAATAAATAGATAAATAAAATAAAAAATAAAGATAAATAAAACAAAACGTAAAAATGTAAATTATGACATCGATATAATCATTGAGTATCATGCTATAAACGAGGAAGCAGCCTGAACCAATTACTGTAATTCATGTGGGACCCTTTAAGGACTCTTATTGTAATAGCGTTCATCGTTCTCTTGGGAATTCCCAACATATCCATGTCTTGGAAAGATCTTCGGCACCATATTCCTCTCCAAGTTATTGTGAGCGGCAGTACTTTTATGTCCACGCCTGGCACTCCCAGTGTACGCCCGATCGCCATCCTGCAATCTAGGTCCCTATATTTATTGGCTTTGACATTGTTCCAGTGAGTGGTGCTAGGGTTATCCCCGACGACCTGTGCATCTATAATGAAGTGTCCGCTTAGTCCTGAGCACACCAGGTCTGGCTTCCACCTTCGTCTATTACCAACAAACATTTGCTCCTTTGTGACCCTGTATCCTTTTTTTTGGAGAGCAATTTCCAACATGTTCACTATTGTATCATGCCGGCGCACTCTACCACCGTGAGACAAAATGCAATGTTGAATAATATGGCTGGCAGTTTCGCTTGCAGGACACCCAGCTCTGCATTGGGTCGGCATAAAAGCCCTACGTCCTCTGGATAATCTCACTCGGGTCGCGAGGGCATTTATATGAGTTCTTACCGTCTGTATGAAGGTCCGTCCGGTTATCGGAGCCGCGTAGTCTGTCAACCAATGAGTTGATGGGTGGCAGTTTTTTGACTCCCTTAATGCCTTACCATCAACGCTACGATATAACTTCATGGACAGCGTTTTCTTTCGTTCTTCACTGGAAGTGTTTTCCGCGTTGAGGCCCATTTTCGTGAGGTTGCTTGTGAGTTTTCTCATTTCCTTAGTGATAAAGGAGGAATGATAGGCGGCTCTTGCTACTGGGCAACCAGAGTACTCCATACGTCGTAACCTCGCGAGCTTGAGTGAGGGTATAGCACTGCTAAAGCTCATTACTCCCAAACCACCATCAGTACAAGCAGAATGGAAATACTGAGTAGGGGTATCCTGAGGCAGTCGCAGCCAGGAACGTACTGCCGCTCTCGTTGAGATATCCAACTTTCTCAACTCGTTCATTTTGCTTGGGCTCAGTGTGAGGAGATGAATGAATTTCGGGATGAGATAAGTTCTCAAAGTCACTAATTTTTGTTGGGGTTTTAGGGGTGCAGTGTTTGTTTTGTGCAGCAATAATGATAATTCATCGATAATCCCTTCGGCATTCATGTTGTTCAACGAAAATTTCGCTCCTAGGTATTTCCAGCAATCCAAGATACCCAACTGCTTGATTCTAGCGCCATTTACTACGAAATGATATCTGTTATCAACCTTCATAACATTAGAATTGACGGCCTTGACGAGAGAAAAGCTAAAGCATTTGGCTGGGTTGGATTCCATTCCCAGATCTTGAATAGCTGCAGCTGCGTCCGATAGTAATCTTTTCATGCCTTTCGATGAGGATGTGATTAAGACTAGGTCGTCTGCAAATGCCAGGCAGTTTACCATTGTTCCTCCCATATCGTAGCCTATTCCATCTGGAAGGGAATGGATTACCCAATCCATTGCCATGTTAAAGAGACTAGGGGATAATGGGTCACCCTGCCTTATACCTCTTCCGCATACAATAGGATCCGTATGCTGCTTTTTGTCTGTAATGCGGGTATAACATTTGCTATATAGCCCCTTCATGTAACCAATAAGTCCAGCTGGCATACCCTTCCATTCTAAGATTCTATAAAGTGCATTATGGCTCAGATTATCAAAAGCTTTGGCAATATCCATAAACGTTACATGGATTTCCTTCTTTCTCATTTTAGAGTCGTCTATTATTGACTGTAATGAGAATATATTTTCTGCAGTGCCATCGGAAGCAATAAACGCTCGCTGGTTTACATGATGCAAATCCATTTCGTTTAGACGAGTTGCAATTATCTTGTGCATTTGTCTAAGAGGGACTGAAGCAACTGTGATGGGTCTATATTCACAAGGACCAGCGGGATCATCCGTTTTCGGAATGAATATAGTCCGGGCCGCAGTTAACTTTGGTAAGTGGGGTGGGTTGGACAGATATATATTATAAAATATGGCCCTATGTAAGGGGGCAACAGATTCCCACTGCTTTACAGTGATACCATCGGGTCCCGCTGATGATTTTTTGTCCATAGCGTTTAATTTGACTTCATCAACTGTAACTGGCAGCCATAATGTAAACAACTTCTGATGCGGAATTGGCGTATCCGGCACATTGGGACATGATGCTCTCTCCATCAGCGGCCTCCAGAAAGATTCGAGTTGCTCAATATTGTGCTTGTTACGGGCTGTGGTACCGTTGAACACTTCGCAAACCGCTTTCTTCCTATCTCTTGTCCATAATTTTTGAATCTTCTTGAACTGCTCCCTTCTTCTGACAGTAGAATTAGCGGGCAATGATCTTTCACCAGATTCATTTGAAATGTTGCTTTTCACATTCACCACTGAATCGAGCCATGCGTTAAGAGATTCCGAAATGTCTTCCTCCTCCTCTGCAATCTCCAAAAGTGAAGCCAATACTGAATTAGGATCAGTTATCTCCTGGCATAAGTTTCTGCCTGCTTTCAGAAATTCCTGCTTATCCGTGGTGCCATTATTTATGGCAACAGCTGGGTTAGGCTCTGCGGCTTCATCGTTACGCCCTTCCATGACTCTCTGAAGGAGATCCTGGTATTGTTCTTTTGTTCTAGCCTTTCGTATACTCCATATAGACCTACCGGGTTGCATACCGACAAGGTCCCGAATCCTTACATTTCCTCCTTGAGCGATCAGTGATGCTTCATTCAGAGCTAGTAATTGAAGCTCCTCTCTAGTCCAACGCTCCTTCTTCCGATCCGTGTTAATATTATCATTGAAGAAGACGGGGTGAGCACGCTTGATGTGAAGACCCATACCCGAACGAGTGCCAAAATTCCTGTCGCAGCGGGGACATTGATTAACGTTGTCGTCCATAGTCAGTGAGATTCATGAACCATTTAATTGCCTCACTCCGACTTGGGCATCGAAAAAACGACGATCTATGTTTCAGCTGACAATTCGCGCAGAACTTACCAGACGATATAGCCAACTTTCACATCTTCTGGACTACAGATCTTCACTTAACTTACGAAACAAGCGACTTATCTACAACACCTTACTGAGACCAATATGGACATTTGGGGCAGAACTTTGGGGTTCAGCAAAACAAACACACATAAACAAAATACAAACAGCACAATCAAAAATTTTACGAAACATTGTTAACGCACCTTGGTACATTAGAAACACTACTATACATAACGACTTAAACACCCCAACAGTAAAATCCTACATCCACGACAAATACACTACATTTCATTCTTCAACCCAAAATCACTCCAATCCTCTGGTTCTTTCTATCTCCTGCTCCCTGTTACCTGAGTAACGAAGATTAAGAAGAAAATGGCCAAGAGACCTACTACATCACTAAAAAAAAAAAAAATCAAGCAATTAAACCAAGACAATAAAAATACAACAAATTTGCTAGAGAGCCGTTATATATCGATAGCCATACTGCAAAAGCCTGTAAGAACAAAAACTAAATACGTAATAGTTAACCGTTGTGTATTTTAGAGGAATATGATCCTGGATGGCGGTCATAAATAGACTAAAATAATGGGAAAACTATTTCATTTCAAGCCAACGTTTTGACCCAACATTGCAGGTTTTCTTCAGGACTATAACGGACAAGATACAAAAGGATATAGAAAATTGTGGAATTTGCATAGTATTTAGATAAAAATTATAAACAAGGTGAATAAACTTATTGAAATTATAATCAGTATGCACATTGAAATATTAAGACTAATAAACTATATAAACAGAGTGAACTAAGTAACAAGATCCTAAACTGAAGTAAGTAAATGGTAACAATTGTTGGAGTATAATTTATAATATAATATATGCAATTATGAATATACTCCTACAGATCTCAATGAGAGATTGGAAGATAAGGATAAATAATGGGTATAAAGGGATGTAAAGAAAGAAAAGAAAAACAAAATAAAATAAATAAAAATAAAATAATAAAAATAGAGAATTACAGGTGTGTTAAGTTAAAACTGGAAAAATTTGGGTAGAGCACCATTGGGGAAATTTGCTGACCTGATTGGGGGGTGGTGAGGGGGTAAATAGCAAAAGCAAAATAAAAGAATTGCCAGGGCTACCTCCGAGGTAAGAATGGAGAGAAGGTGGCCACAGGGAAGACCAAGAAAAAGATGGGAAGAAGGAATCAAAGAAGGCTTTGACAGGAGAGGAATGGACTAAAGGAGAAGGCAGCTGGCTGAGGACAGAGATTCTTGGATCAAGCTCTATAGGAAGGAACCTCACACTGCTCAGGGGTATCAAAGAGAACTAGATTGAGTAAATAAGTAAGTTAATATGAAAAATAATTATTAGATCAAAGCAATGAAATTTACTATAGTAACACCCATAACTTTGTCAATAATTATTGTATTACAGGATAGGAACAAAGTCAGTTTCAAAATGTAGAGAAATGATATTTCAAATGAAAAATTGTAAAACATTTGACTGTAAAGCGAGTATTTAATCACACGAGTTGTTAGTTTTTTTGTCTCCCACTGTTGGGGCGCCTCGAACGGAGTGCATGCGCCCCATTTTGAAATAGTACATGAAAGTTTTGTTATCAACGTACTCAACTTCATATAGACATATTTTTCGAAGATTCATTGCTTTGAAAAGACCCACTTAAAATGAAACTGAAGATCTTTTTTCGTCCATGTTAAATTTTTCAATCAATGAAATCTATTACCTGTCTCTCAATACCTGGAATTTGGCGGCATTGTAGCTTTTTTTCAGTCCTGTTCAATTTGCAGTTGCCAGGATGTTTCGATTGTTTTAAAGGCCGTTCAATATTATATTCCTACTTACCACTCTCTTCTTTGCTTCGTTTAGTTACTTGGTAAGCAGGGCTGGCCTCAGAGAAGGGGAATCCGGACATTTGCCTAAAGATGCCGGACTGGAAGAGTCCGCCACTTATTAGAAATTAAAAAAAAAACAATACAACGAAAAATTAATTTTAACTTATTAATAAAGCTAATCTATATTGTATTCTATGCGCAATACGCTTTATACAATCTATATTTATACGACCATAATTGAGCATTTCATTATGATTTTTCGGTGAAGACACAAGAGATTGTAGATTATAAGAGATGTTATAGAAATATAACCTTCGCCATAACAAGTTTTTCTATTGCAATTTGCTGGTTTTAACTTACAGGTTTTGACAAAAGGCTATAAAGAAGAAATGAAACATTGTAGATTTCAATAAACCACAATCCTCAATACCAAAGTTCGGCACATAAAAACATTAATTGTAAAATACTTTCTGATCTCTTTGCAATGCTGAGCAAGTTGTGCTTTGGATTATTCCCGGCAAAATTTTGGTTGTAAACCGTCCTAATCTTAATTCTTATTACACTGCGCGATTTATTCTAATCTATTAAATCATATTTTAATTACTGCTTAAGTTTTACATTAAGACAAATATGTGGGGCAACGATGACTCCTGTAAGTATGTCTTAAGATAATGAAATTAAGTATTTAATTTCAGAGATAATGAATGGATTAGTATTGCTTAACCTGGTTTAATTTGAACGAAGTTTTAAGCACTGCAAACATTAATAAATAAACAAGTCTAATAATTTCTTATGTATCATTGATTGCATATTGCAGTAGTGATTTTATTAGTGATCACTACTGTAGAATGAGTTAAACTTTATCAGATATCAAAGTTGAAAGTTTGAAGTTTTGTAACACCTCTTATTTCAACCTGATATATCTGCATCATTTAAAGTTTGGAATATTTATGGTACTATAATATAATAAGCAAACAGTATGATCTTAGCTTTGAACAATTGAATGATTGATATAAATTTCTGTAATTTGAGATGAATTCAAGCTATTTCTGTATGTTCCTCTTTAACTATAGCATAATTATATGAGACGGCATCGTATATATAATAAGACTGTTAATGTACTCTACTATTAAAATGGAAGGAAGTTTATGCTTGAAGGTATACATTTACTTTGCTTAATCTGGTACTAGGGGGTTCTTTGATCAATTTTACAGTAATTAAAAACTCTAAGTAAGGATTGGAGAAAGCTGGTCAAAGAAACTAGGACTTGTTCCGAGTTGTGTCTCACCAATAAAAAAAAATTAAGGAATTGTAATTTTTAGTAATCAAGTCATTACAAAATGTGAGGTAATTAGACTAATTTGCTAAGACTAATTGAAGTAATTAGACTAAATTACTCACCTTGTTTGCTTCATTTTACTAATCAAACTAACCAAGCGAAGTGACAGCGACTGTTGAGCAAGTAGTGAAGTTACTTGTCAGAAGAAAAACGCTCTCTATCTGTTGAGTGAAATTCCATCAATGGCCAAGTGTGCTTGAAATAAATTAAGAAATATCTTCCAAATCGGTTGGGATTCGCCTACTCCTTTTGACCAAGCAGAAGTCAAATTTTGAAATCTAATTAAGGCGCCAACCAATTGAGCTTTTGAAGAGAAGGATGGTTGGGGTGATCAATCAAATTGAAATGGTAAAAAATAAATAACATTATTTATTTTTACATTCGACGACATTTTGTCCCGAAGTTTAGGGCTGGGAAAAGAACCAGATAACAATAGGTAATAATAACATTGAATAATACAGAATAAGATTAAAAAAATGTGATAGATATAGACTAATAATTTTTAGTAGAACATCTTAACATAAAATAAAGTAGATACAATGAACATTATAAATGTTTACTTTCTTACTTTTATGTTCATTTTATCTAATTTATTTTACTTTAAGTTGTTCTACTGAAAATTATTAGTCTATACCAATCACCCTTTTTTTAATCTTAATTCTGTATTATTCAATGTTATTATACCTGTTGTGATCTGGTTCTTTTCTCAGCCCTGATGAAGGCCTGAACTTCGGGCCGAAACGTCGGCGAATGTAAAAATAAATAAAATTATTTATTTTTTATCATTTCAATTTGACTGATCACTCCAACCTTCCTTCTGTTCAATTATTCACTACAGTCAACCATAAACCCACAATTGAGCTTTTCTTTTGGGGAAGCAGGAGATGATAATCGAAGAGAGGTTACAAGCATAAGCACGGTTCTTATTAGTTGACTGTACTCACACTTCTATCTACAGTTTGATCTTGTGATCCTCTACCTATCGTGTACTATGAATGGAATAATTAAAATAGACACTTGCAATTCCAGGTATCTTTTATTAGCCATGATACTACATTAACAAGTTTTATTAATATATATAAAGGTGTTGGTATTTCAAATAAGTTGCACTCTCATGTGAATGGTACACATCCATCATGTTGGATGACACCTGTACTCTTATAGTTAAGGTGTAAATAGAATTGATTTTATTCTGTTTGTTTTTTTTTAGCGTTTCGTGAAGAGGGAGGGTTTGACAGTACTAATAATATGTTTTCAAGCCCGGGTCAACAACTAGAGAAGGTAATTATAATTATTATCTTATAACACTTATCTGAATATTGAAGAGTAGCATGGATAGAGTTTTGTACATCTTCCATCCACTCCTTGTAAATCCATCATGTTTACAGATACCACCAATATTTAGGGTGTAAAATATATATTTTTTTAAAATTATTCCATTTTAGTGCCAATAATTCAATCATTTTAATATTAGCAAACTTCTTATGTTTTTTTTTATTTAACACCTCTGCCATTGGCTATTAAGCCATTCAGCCCAATACAATTCCACCATAATAGATTTTCCCAATTTCTTGATTGTATTTTTGTTCGTCTCATCAGAAAGATTACTCCGAACATCTGGAACATCTGACAGAGCGGGGCATACAGGGAAGTGTAGGTCGTACATCTCATCCTTCTTGCACAGAGGGCTTACAGGGCTTTCCATAACTCCAATCCTATGTAAATGCCTTTGCAGGTAATCAGTCGTCTTGTGGAAATTACCTTCCTTACCAATACTTTCCTACTTTTTGTTTCTTCCCTCGGCCCCTCTGTTAAATAGTCACATTTTTTCCCTGATGTGTGTTGTTTTTGCCAATTCTTAACCTATTCCTTTCTAAAGGATTTTAAAATCCTTTTAGCAGATTCGTAGGGCAGCAGAAAATTAGTTTGTGGTATTTCCAAGGCGACCTCATCAGCTTTTTCGTTTTCTTGGTAGACCAAAATGGCTTGGAACCCATTGGAATGTCACTCGGATTACTTTTTTAATGGAATTATCTATTCAATCTCTAGCTTCTATGGCATCAGGATGATCCAGGCCATTGCAGATCACCAGTATGGCGGCTTGTGGATCAATATAGAACACAATCTGGGATAGCTGAGTGTTTCTCTATTCAAGCCAATGCTGCCAAATGGCTTTGACTTCTCTATTGAAATTTCTTCTCTAACTACCAACAGGGATGGCATAAACTCTTGGCAGTATACTCCTGCACCTACATTCCGCGTAGCTGTTTGAGATCAGCGGTTAGTATACACATACAGCCAATTCTGCTCAGAATAATGGCGGAGATTTAAAAGACTCCCCCAGTACCGGGACCCTGAACTCATGACTATTTTTATCTAGTAATCTCATGTATCAGGTTGCCTGGTAACGGAGGTGCTGTGCACACACGTTAGACCATTCGGCCCACTATGAAAAATTTTACTTCCTGACTTTTTGCAATATGAACTTGTTGTTTGCTAAGTTATCGATATTTTGTTTATCTGAAGTAGAAAGAAAGCACATAGTGGACGCCATTTTGGGACAATGCTGCTCTTTTATTTTGTGGAAACAATTTATTTGTTGATTTTCAATCTTTCATTTTATATAGTTTTCCGAACACGTCCCTGCAGCAATTAATACAAGTTCCAAAACTCAGCACTAAACTCACTGATGACATCGGATCGGTCTCTAAACTCAGCGAAACAATGTCAGCAATGAGCTCAGCACTGAATTTAAGAACTTGCCCTATAGTTTAAATTATTGAGATAGTTCTGTATATTTTTTTGAATAATTTTGAATTTTATACAAAATAGTTGCACTTTTGAGCTATTTCATTATGTAATGATTTGGTCTATGCTTATCAATTTTATCATTTACAAAGATATATATTGTTATTATATTAAGTAGATTAATGTTTTTAAGTTACAGTATGTTTGTTTAATTTTTTTTCTTTTTTTTAAGGCATCGAAACCAAAATGCCTTGCTGATGTTACTATTAGGCAAATCATTGAAGCACCTGAAGATGGAATAAAAATAAAAGATATTGAAGTTCAAATGGTTAGTATACTTTTATCAATAAGGTTGTGATTAAATTATTAACAATCTATTTATTTATAACTTTTCTTGTTTTTTTAAGGTAAAAATCGTCGGTATTGTCAAACAAGTTGAAGTCACTTCCGTTAAGGTCCGCTATGTTATAGAAGACTATACTGGATCAATCACTGGTTTTGTCTATCTTGATAATGATACTGTAAGTATTTTTTTGTAATTATCTTATCACAATGTTATGGCTGATTGTTAGAATATCAGATTGATGAAAGAAAAGCCAAGGATGTTCATATATAATATATAGCTTCAATGATGTTATTTTTATTCAAAATTGTTTACATTCATTTACCTATGTATATATTATATAGTAAGAAAAGTATTCTGATCGTGAAAATTTTCTGATCTCAGTTTTCAATGGAAATACATGTTGTTTTGAGATCTCCTGAGTCCAAATAACCAAGTCTCATAAAATGTTCTGTGTGTGGGTGTGTGTTTGTTAACGGTCTACATCTAAACAAAAAGTCATAAGTGAAATTACATATTTAAGGTTTTTATATACCTGAGATGTTACAGCAACTGTTTCATCAAAATTGGCTAACCAGAAGTGGCACTAAATGTCATTGATTTAACACATTTATACGATTTTCTCGAAAACAGTTGTATAATTTTGATTAAATTCATTAAATCAGTGTAAAATTTAGCAGTTTTATTATCTATGTAGGTTGTAATAGAGAGATCAAAGGAATGCGAGCACACTCAAGTTAGGCCGAAAGATCAGAACAAGCTTCCATACGTAACATGAGCTACATATGATAAGGACTCAGGCAATATTATATATATATCCATATGTGGTTTTCATGAATGCTATTGTTGGTTTTATTTAATACTTAATACTTAATTGTATAGATTCCAGCGATATTAAAATTAAAATTTGTATATATACACCAGTACGGAGATAAATAAAAATACCCACAAGGAAATATAAATAAATATAGCGGCCTTCATCAGTGGTACTCTTGTCGAACTAAAAATATTTCGTGACACTTAATTGTTTATTATAATCAAATAAATAATTGAAAGATACAATCATAAAAGGAAATTACTAGAATTAGAATAAATTAACTTGAGATATGAAAATTTAGGTTTGTTATCAATAAATTATATTTATTATAGTTATAATTTATTTATTTTTTCAGGATTCAGGTAGTACAGTTGTAGAAAACACTTATTGTACTGTCGTTGGTTCCATAAGAGCCCAGGGAGGTTCTAAACATATAATGATTTTTAGCATCGTCCCTGTCGAAGATTATGGCTACATTTTAGCACATATATTGGAAGTTATATATATGCCACTCAAATTGGAGAGTCTTGCAAATAAGGTAAGTTATTTGTTTTATTTTACTTTTCTTTTTTTTCTTTACGACTAGTAAACATCCGAGGTGTAGACTGAAGTGAAGTTGGGAAAATTGCGGTAAGATTGATCTGACAGGGTTGAGTTTGAATGGTGGCGGGTGATTGGAGGTGTCTAAACAGTGATTTGTTAAGCCTTTTACTATTATTCTTTTCTGGTTATTTCAAAATAAAGGTGCCCTATATTTATTTCTTTTACTCTCGCTCTGAGTAAAGATATTTAGTTTAAAATGTATTTTATTAGCTTTTAAAATGTATGTTTATAAATTAGACCTAAGCTAAGTTTGATAGAATTTGGCAGCTGTATATGCCAAGCTACAGTGGACTCAGGCTATACCCCATTCGCACCGCAGCTCAAAAACGCACTATTATTTTGAATTTTTTGCTAAATTCGATTATATATGTAATATATAGCAAGAAAATTATTGCGATTGTGACAATTTTCGAATCTTGAGTTTTCAACGAAATACATGTTTTGAGATCTCCTGGGTCCAAATAACTAAGTCACGCAAAATGCTCTTTGTGTGTGTAAATGTATGCCAACAGTCTAGCTTTTTTTTTTTTTTTTTGTCCTTCCCTTCCTCGCCGTTAAGGCTATACGGGATTTTCCCGTGCCAGGGGGTGTGGGTGGGGATTTAAAAGACTCCCCCGGCACCGGGACGCGAACTCGTGACTATTTTTATATCTTTAATTCATATGTCAGGTTGCCAGGCAACGGCCGTGCAGTGCACACGCTTTAGCCCATTCGGCTACCCCGCCCACGCCAACATTCTAGCTCAAAAACATGTTGTACACAACTGAAATTGCGTATTTAAGGTTTTTCCAGACCTAGGATATTATAAATTTTTCGTCTATATCGCCTAACCTAAACTGTTACTTCATATCATGGATTTACACATTTTTACAATTTTCCCAAAAATGGCTATAACGATTTGTATTAAATTCATTACCTCAGTGTAAAATTAAACGTTTTTTAATATACTGTAGGTCTTTATCTAACAAGATTTAAATGTCTAATTTTCAAAATTTCTTAATCTAAAGTACCTTTAATTTTTTTTCATTTGAAATAATTAATCATTTCAATAAAAACCATGTTTTTAGTATATTTGGAGTAATATTATCTGAAATTACGCTATTTATATTTGTCATATTACCTTACTTATCAGTAAAGATTATGGAAGTGTAAAACACGTATATTCTAAAACCAATCACACCTTTTGTTTATGGAAAATTATTGTGGAATAAATAAATATATTCTAAGAATTTAACGCTTTTTCATAATTTTCAAGAAATTCAGTCTTTTTTATGTCTTGTTTCAGCCTGAAGAGAAAGAAATCAAACAAGAAATGATGTCCTCATATGGAACATCTACGTTTCAAGGAAATGATATGACTTCCGATATTGATCCTAGATATAAAAGAGTTTTTGATGTTATATCGGTTGGTTTTTTAATTTTATTTTTTATTTATTAAGTTGTAGTAAATAATTTAATGTTGATGCCTAGAAATCTTTTCTTTTTTTAAAATGTTTTTCACATTAAATAATAAGTCTCAGATTTTTCTCTTTGTCTAAAGCTTAAAAATATTTTTTCTTACTAGTTCATTATGTAACTATTTAGACAATTGACACTGTTTGGATTTATATGAATTTTTGTTCTATTGGAAAGATTATATTTTTTATTTTTACTAGTTTGTTATAAGTCTGATATGATACGTAACATTATTATTTTTTATTCTGAATACTTACAAGATGCTCTTATTTCTCTCAGTCTCTCTTTATTTTATGATGGTGAGCTGTCAAATTTTTTATAGCTTGGTAGATAAATTATTTATTTAAATACATTAAAAAATAAATTATTATTTTCAATCTAGTTTAATCTTTCTACAATGGACAGCCACAGTTCTGATTAATTTGTCACAAAGGGGATATACAAGTGCCCATCAAGAAATGAATATGTGCATTCATGTATCAAAAAAAGTTTATTAATTTGATTAAATGAAGTTTATTAATGCAATTTAAATGGGGGTAGCCAAACGGGCTAATGCACATGTGCTCAGCACCATGGATTGCCCGACAACCCAAATCAATGATAATTAGATAAAAATAATTACCAATTTGCATCCCTGGCATGGGAAAACTCCATAAAGCCTAGCCCTAACAGGCAAGGAAGGGGAAGACAAAATATTAAAAAAAATTAAAATTTACTATTTCTAATTTTTCTTCTAACTATAAATTAAGTGGTGCCATTCTTAATGTTTTAAGTTAAAATGACAAAATATATGGAGGCATATTGTACTGAAAGATTTCTTAGTTATAAGTTATTCTATTAATAGTTTTGTCATAATAATGATATACTGAACATTTGTAATTTTTAATTTGTTTTAGAAATCAATGAGTGAAAATGGAATGAGTATAAATGAAATCCAGACATCTTTGCCGAATAGATTGCCGATGGACCAAATAAGGTAATATATGAAGTAGTTTTATTATTGTTCTTTTTGATTCTTATGTTTTACCCAGTACAAGGTAGGTAATATGTTTGGATTGACCGTTTTTAGCTTTGTAACAATTTTCTGAGTCAATAGTTCAACGTATTTTCAGGTTTGATTATTCAAATCAATTGGTGAGATCCCGTGATTGTTTTGAAACAATTTGAGTTCTAAATTAATGTTTTTTTAGTTATGTTTATGTTTGCTCGACTATTTTACAAAAGATTCAATAATCACAGGCATCATCTTCACCTACAACCCACCAACGTGTTTTGGTAGATAGGCAAGTATTTCTGTCCCTTATGATAGACAGGGTTTTTACTGTAGTCCTTTTTAGTTGTTATTATTGTTTGAGTTGCAATTAATTAACAAATACTTATTAAATGTAACTTATTTCAAATGAATGAATGAAAATAATCTTATTATGTTTATATGAAAATTATAAATACGAAATAAATAAAACATGTCAGTGTGGCCATACATTAAATTAAATATTTACAAAATAATTGGCAATTAAAAATAAAAATATAGAGCTAATATTCAAACTTTATTACGATAATTTAGCATACTAAGAAGCTGCAACGAAATAATTACTAGTTAAATATTAATCGCAATTGTTGGCCGAAACACTACACTAAATAAGCAAAATATCATATTTAAATTTCAAGAACGGTGAATTATTCAACAAAATAGAACCCTTGTAAATTATATTGTTTAATAAGCAAGTATTCTTTCCAATAAACCTCAAAAACTTAAATAATTATAAATTTAACAAGATTAGTCATTAATTCTTTAATTGTTAGTAATGCTAATTGAGCTGAGATTTATTTTAATATTAAGTTTCTGCAGAATATTTGTTGTGAATAACCTCCCTCCCCCTCCCCCCCTCTAGATAAACTTATTTTTAGGGTGTTTTCTGTTGTTGGAAATTCAGGGACCTAATTTTTTTGGGATATTGAGTGGCAAGAAATACCAAGAATATATCTATGAAATGTTGGACTGAGAAAATACACTTTGAAATTAATGTCTATCTCAACTGATTTGTTGTTCAATTGTGAGGCATACAGGGAAACTAAATAAAAGGAACATCTACTCCTCAAAGATAATTTATTTGTAATAAATGAATCTATTAAAGTCTTATAACTGTAGGTTTGATCTTAATCTTCATGCCGTAACGTCCTAGCCTCAAGTGAAGTTTTCGTTCTTCCAGCGTTCCTCTCCAGCTGCTGTCACCTACTGTAACTTTTTCAGGCTTCTTTCTTTCTTTGTTTTGTACCTTTTTCGTCGATTGTTTATAGATTTGATACTTTTCACTAACTTGTTCACTGCACAATTGAGTCAAATTCACAGTACAACCCTACATTCCTTCTCATTCCCCCAATCAATGGCACATAAAGCAGTAGATAGAGACCAACTACATCATTGTATATATCGAATAAAGCGCTGTCACTTAATCGCTGATGACTGTAGTTTCTTTAAGTTGATGTTTCGGTACTTGTCTAGAATCATAAGCTGTGAGTTATTCCATTGTGTATTTTTGTTGAAGTGGATGTTATTACATTGTGAGAATTATCGTCTTTAGAAGAAGAGGAAGTTCGACAGGAAGACTAAATGGAGATGCTTTCTTACCACCTTTTTTTTTTTTTTTCTGTCCTCCCCTTCCTCGCCGTTAAGGCTATACGGGGTTTTCCCGGGCCAGAGGGTGTGGGCGGGGATTTAAGACACCTTGACACCAGGACTCCCCGAACTCGTGACTATTTTTATAACACATTTGTCATATATCAGGTTGCCGGGGGACAACGGTGGTGCTATGCACTATGCGTTAGCCCGTTCGGCCACCCCGCCCACGATTTCGTAACACTTGTAAGAAAAACGTATATATAAGGAAAGGAACGTGGTTAGAGGGGTCGATGATTTCATTTTCAACGGCTTTAAAATTAATTTATGGGTTGTCTCATAGTTTATTTATACATATGTTGTAATACATGTTGTAAAATAATAGTGTTTTGTTATTTTTGTGGGAATTATTACATTTGTTTTTGTCTATTTCAATTTCCATAAATATGACTTTTGTTTTTGTCTATTTCATATATATGTTGATATATGTTATAAAATAAAAATGTTTTCTTATTATTACATTTCTTTTTGTGTTTTTGAATTCCCATAAATATGACATTTGTTTTTGTCTGTTTCAATTTCCATAAATATGAATACGAAGATAGGAATTGTCAGTGCCTTATCACAATTATCAGTGTTCAAGTTATAAACATTGCCAGATAGCAGTCGATCCTGGCCGGATTCTAGACAAGTACCGATGTTTCTAAAGAAATATTTGTTGCCGATCAGGATCTCACGGGTGGAGTGTGTTGTATTGCGCTTGAAAAGGGAGTGAGATTTTTTCTACCTCCTCTCTTCTACTATCTTTTCAAATTTGAACTGTCGCCCTCTATGGGGATATTAGAGAAGTTGACTTTCGTTATTCCCATCTAGATGTTTCTATAGCTTATGTGAATAACAGCAATTTTCTGTAATTTGTGAGGAGAATAGAGGTCGGAATTAATGATTATTAACTAAACTAGAGAGGCCATAGATGACTCCAAGATTTTCTAAGCATATACCAAAAGTTTTTAAACTTAGCGTTTATTCCATCAATTGATTGGATTCAGCAGTGATGGACAATAATTCACACTAAGTTTTGACCTGCTGGATTCCAGCAGAAGTTTGTCACTTCTTGAAAGTAACAAAAATACATTTTGAAATAACTACCCATTAAATTGTTGAGCATAAAAACTTATAAATATAGACAGAAAGTAAATTGAATATAAATATGTAAAGTAAAATGAGAAATAACAACACTGAAGTTATTATTAGGTTATATCTTGATGAGCCATCAGTGATATAGCCGATGAGTAAATAGACACACTGATTACCATTGATACCTTCAGAGATATTGTTATAGATTTATGTTATCAGTGTGCTCATTGCTGCTGAGTTTCGAAACTTGCCGATACTGTTCCTTTTAACTGACAAAATGTAGCCTGGGTTGTTGTTTACCGTTATTGTATAGTAATGAAATTTTCCAATTATATCTAAAAATAAATTTTTGTCTCTTGTTGATTGTTTGCTCTCTTATATTAAATAATGTTTATTTTTTATTTATTATCTCTCTGTTTTTGTTATAGGAATGCATTGGAATACTTGGTTGGAGAAGGACATATTTTTACTACGATTGATGAAAACCATTATAAGTCTATTCATAGCAGCTGTTAAGAGTCCATTTGTAAATAATTGTAAAGTGTTTTTAATTGTTATTATATCTTTTTATAACGTACCTCTTTTTAATTATTTAAATCCTCTACTAGCTGTTAATTTAATCTGATGTATAACATCATAAATGTCTAGTTGGAAAAGCTAAGCCGAATTGATAATTTTTAAAAGTGAAAAAATCAAGTTATATTTTTATAAATAAAAATAATACAAATTTTAAAATAAATGATGTCCCCTATCCTTCATCTGTTTTTTTTTTCTATTTATTGAGACCAAAAACGCTTAACTATAGCTATAATTTAGTTTTTTAATGTGATGTTTATATTTTTAATTTAAAAAATAAACCATCTTTTTATTTAGAATTTTTTCTGCAAAAACTGATGATTTACTTTATCTATTGGCTTCCTTCCATATTTTTCAGCCTAATGCCCATTCCTCTTGAGTATATACATTTTTTTTCTTTTGAGATCCCCTGAGTCTAATAACCAAGTTCCACAAAATGTTCTGTGGTTTGTATATGGTTGATATTGTTTTTTTTAATTGATGAGGCTCCTTAGGGAAAGAGAATTCTCATGCTTCAACGAGGTATATTGTATTGATAGTGATGGATCAACAAGATACGCGGATATAGTTGCATTTTCCGGGACCGGAAAGGCGGCACTGGTCTTGGATCCAACTGTTCGCTATGAGAGCAATGACCTCGATCAGGCCAAGGAAGTAGAAAAAGAAAAGAATGAAATCATGAGAAATGCATCCCTTTTCTAAAAGAGAAATTTTGCGAGACCTCTTCGGAAAGAGAGAGTTCACAGTATGAGGCCTCTGGTTTGGGTCTCACGGAATGATTTCTAAAAGAACAGGGAGCTTCTTCGAGGAGCTAGGTGTTGATGTCGGGAAGCTTGCAGTGTTGGCCGAGGGTATTCTGGACTCCCTTGGGATCATTCATCATCACATTTATGGTAATTAGGGGTTGATTATCGTTATTTATCTATTTATTCAATTTTAAGTGACAATATCTTGTTGTGTGTTACTTAGGACTATGTTAGTTGCTGTGTGTGTATTCTAATTTCCTGGTTTTAAAACTTTGGTGTTCGAATACCATCTTTTTTTTTTTGTCCTATAAATTTCAGAAATTGTCTCATATCGGTTTTACTGAAATATATATATATTGTATAATTGTAATTGTGTGTATTAGTGTATTATAGTATTGATATTGTTTATGCTGTGTAATATGAAAAAGAATTTGTATATATATAAACATATAATTAAGTACTATGTCCAAAAAAAAAAAGGATTGATGAGATCGGGCAACCCTATATAATAGGGTAGCACTCCTTTTAAGAAAGTATTTCTCTCTCTCTTTGTTTTTTTATTGAAGCTCCTGCTATATTATTGAAACTGTGTCAATATAATTGCACGTGATCTATATTGAGCAATATTAAATCATTTAGAACTTGAGAAGCTCTGTGCGATACCATATTTCAGGTATCCCTTATGGCAATATATTTGAGTAGGTAAGCGAAACTTTGTTTAATTTTTTCTTGGGGGGAAGGGGTTAACCCTCATCTCCAATTTTTTTTTAAGATAAAATGAAAATATGTTTTTGCAGGTGGGTGATACTTTGTTATACTTTTTCTTGGGAAAGGGAGGGTAGAGGAGGGAGAATGATACTTTGTTTTACTATTATTTTTTTGGAGTGTGGGAGGGATTCCACAAAAAACAAAAATTACCTCTTTAGAAACCCCTTTGTTTAATGGAAGCAAGATTCTAACTGTTATAATATTGAATATCAAGTAATTGACCCGTATGAGGTATTTCTTCAATATATTGACCATGTAAGGAGCCCTCAAAGGAGAAAGCACCCTTCCTGGTACAGCTGGAGTACCTGATCTTTGCTGACCCTATCCTTTTACAGAAAACCAATATCACTCTGTACAGAACATAAATATTATTAGTTTAACTTTTATATATCACATTTCCATAATTTTTTAAAAATGTTTTAAGCAAAATGTTGAATTATAAACCTAATAATATACAATATTTACTAACGCTATGTTAATTTTTTCTATGAGTTTCGTGATAAACTCAGAATTACCTAAAGATCCATTTCCCACAATCATTAGTATTGTTTGATACTCTACACAGTCATAAAAGAAAGTTGAAAATCATGCAAATATATAAATTTAACCGATTCGATGGGTGGAAAAAACATGATAATTAATTGTTTTAAATTGAATTATACTGTCGGTTTTACTTACAAGGGGAATTTACAGACATTGAGTCACCGATTTCAATGACATTTTTTTTGGTGATGCTAGGTCGAAAAATATTTGAACCATGTCCGAGGTTCTTGCCAATGTACCCTAGAAGCTCTTATAACAGTGACACGGCTGAGAGAGAAGTACTGGGATCTCCTGGAGTCCTGCCTTGGCTTCCACGTCGGGGAGTAAGGCATGACTCAGAGTCCCCTGGGTGAATGTAAATATTGTACATAGGTGTGAATGTGATTTATTTACTTTAATTTCATCTAGCTTTTATCTATTATTTTCATTATTTTTTTTTGTACACAGGCATACCAATTTACTTATTTTATTTTTTTTATATTTCTTTTTCTTTATTATTGATATTAATTGTACGTACATATTGTGTGAATGAATCAAGTAGCCTTAATATTAATGCCCTTCAATGTGGCAGAATGTATTAATATTCAATAAAGAAAGTTAAAAAAAAAAAGAAGCTTTGAAAAAAAAATATTTTGTATAATTTCAAACAGAATTCATGTTTGGTATTATATGAGCCTTTTAGTTGAAATAATGACAACTAAAATTTCAAATATTTTTAGTTGAAAAATTTATGATATCTGTACAGACAGAAGGGGGTTTCATGCCGCAAGTTGCACCATCAAAATTTATAAGGGGAGCACATTTCGACGGGGTTATAAATTTTCAAATTTAAAGACAAGTGGAATCATGGAACAGATCGCAGCATGTGAAATTGTACATTATCTATGAATATTTAAATTCTACTTTCGTTTGCACTGTTGTTAAGAAGAAGAGAGGAATAAAATATCTTGGGAGAGATGGGAGAAGGTTTATGTGCCTTCGGCCTTGGGTGAAATGGGTTTTCCAAGGGAAAAAAAAACATGTAATAAATGTTGTAGTAAGCTCTTGTGTAAGTTCTTTGCTAAATTGCAAATTTTTTTTAGTAGTTTTAAAATATATTCCATGTAATCAAAGAAACTTTCGTCTAGAATCATCTTCGGGTGCCCTTTGAGATCGATGCCAAATCTAAAAACAATCGATTAATTAGTAGTTGAGAAAATCAGCGAACGGCGTATAGTGGTTGAAAGGCAGAAAAAATCTATTTTTTTGAAGGTATTTAAAAAATTCTTTTCTTTTCGTAAATCAAAAATAGATTAGTTACCAAAGATATTTCAATAATCCAATCAGTAAAATATTGATTTTTAATTTTGTATGAGTCTTCCAAATTCGACCATGGAATAATGTTTTAATTACAACGAAAATGTTTCGATATTATTATTATTGTCACTCACAGTTTTTATTTGGTCAGATTTTCCTTTATATTCATAAACAGATATTCCAGATGGTACACTGCGTGAAAAAATAAATTACTTATTCGTATTTTTAAGTCCACCATACAATTTTGAAAAAGTACTAAAATAAATGGAAAATTTTTTTTTTTTTGTAGGTCCAGACCTTTTTATTTATCGCAGTCTACCGAAGATCTAACATCTATTTGTTTATTAAGAATAGAATCCCTAAATTAAAAAAAATCCAGCTGCGTCTGTAATTTTAGCGTAATATAATCATGTAAATTGAATTAAATGTATTAGTTTATTTTGAAACGAGTGTCTATTTGAAATGAAAAGATTATTGACCCTAAAATAAATAGGTACATGATTTTAAGTATATTTGTACGTATTATATGAATGAATGTATACTTTTGTTATATTTTAAATTAGTCATTGAGCCCTAAAAATACCAATTGCTTGTTAAAAAAAAAAAAAAAGGATAATTGATTAGGTTTTATTTATTCGCATTAAAAACTAAAACTCTTATCTTATTTTTTTTTATTTATATAATATGAAAATTAGTATACCTTTGTATTTTACTTAAAATCTTTTCCTTGGTTATAATTAGATGTTAAAAAATATTTCTTTAGATTTTATTTATTTCGAATAAATATGAGGAAATCTGTCGTATTCTTATATGTAATTTAGTACATATTTAATTAATTCGATTTTTAAAATTAGTTGTTTACAAATAATTTCACAGAATGAGTTCTTGGTATTTGGTGGCGAACAATAACACTCTCAAACTTCCATCTTGCAAAATCATGATAGTGGTTTTATCTATTTTATAAAATTGATAAACAATTTATTTTTTATTTTTAATAAGCCGGTGTTCCTCAAGGTAGTATCCTAGGTCCTATCCTTTACACAGTTTAGACAGCTGACATCCCAACCCAATCCAACACTGTCATCACCACCTTTGCCGATGACACGTGTATCCTATCAGTTAATAACGATCCATCTATTGCATCCCAAACTCTTCAATCACATATCACAAGCCTTGAAGAATTGTGTAAAAATTGGAGAATAAAAATAAATTCCAACAAATCCCATCAAATCACCTTTACCCTCCGTCGTAAACCTATGACCTCTTGTCCTACAGTATCCTTCAATAATACTCCACTTATTCCTGTTGAGCAAATCCGCTACTTAGGACTCCACCTTGACAAACGACTCACTTGGAACCCCCATACCAGACTGAAACGACTAGAAACCGCCCGACGTTTTCGACTACTGCAGCACTTACTAGACAAACGATCTAAGCTTTCATTCAATTATAAACGACTCGTATATATGACAATAATAAGACCTATTTGGACTTACGGAATTGAGCTTTGGGGCTCCACTAAACCATCGAATTCCTCTCGTATCCAATCTTTACAATCCAAAATCCTTCGTAAAATCCTCAACGATCCTTACTCTGTCACAAATAAAATCATCCATAAAGACCTTAATGTTCCATATGTTTCCGATCTGGCCCAATCCAGATACCTTTCCTTCCATAACAAACTGTAGAACCATCCGAACCATTCAAACCTTGCTTCCTCCTCGATCCCTGATAACCCTCCGAGGCGTCTGAAAAGAAGAT